GTGGAGATTGCTTGTGACATCATTTCATGCTGGACCACTCTGATTACAGAGCAAAGCAGTTCATCCATATCTCATCATAGGTCACTCTTCACTCTAGGAATGTGTTTCTCTCCAGTTAAAACTGGTGTAAATGCTTGGTAGACACAGCAACATGTGCCATCTTTTGGACACAATGAAACACACAGTCTTTTGAACAGTAAATGGTTGCAACACTTCCAACACTTATGCCATTATATATAAGACAAACTCCGTCTTGAGTGCAACAATTTAATTGTAGTTCTTTCTTCTTCCCTTCCTCCACACTACATGTTTCGGCCCTAAATGGCCATCATCATGTTTGTGTGTATGTATAAAATCTTTGTTAACGTACACGCGTCAATTTGATTTCTAAAATTGGCACTTTTTTAAAACTTCAATTCAAATTAAAATGTCTATAAATTTTCTGTTCTTTTTCTTTTTCCAAAATTTTTTTTTATTAAAATTTTCTCGGGGTACACGCCCTATGTCTATAGTGCTGCAGCGGCTACTTCTTGTTTTATCGCTGTTCAGGTATTGTCCTGTGTAGGCTCTCTCTGTGTGTGTCGCTGCTTATCTTTAATACGTGTGCAGTGTAGCAGCTACGTAAGAATACACACCTGATGATGGCCATTTAGGGCCGAAACATGTAGTGTGGAGGAAGGGAAGAAGAAAGACCTACAATTAAATTGTTGCACTTAAGATGGAGTTTGTCTCATATATATTGTGTGAGTGTAACAGGATGCTTAAATGTAATATTGTAAACTTATGCCATTGTTGGGTGCATATCATATAGTACAGTTTACCATTTCCCAAAATGAACTCTTTAACATGGCAGTGTTCACATAACATACAGCAGTTGGCTGAACATGAGCATGTGGGTTTGAGTTGTCATTACAGGCATCAGAAAACTTCTTGTGCTGCTCATAGGCACTTGCCTGTGACTTGGTCTCTTCCCAGTGCTGTGCATTTAACCTGTGAAGAACTTCTGTTGGTTTCACTTTCACTTTCACTAGGAATTTGATGATACGTCGCTCTTCTGTGCGAGAACTGTCAAAAGTCTGACATCGTCTTGTACTAGCTTGGGTGCATGGCCACCTGCCTGACAGTGAGTGCAGTGTTGCCACAAACTATCTATTAGGACTCCCCTTCCAATGGTTCTAGAGTTGCTGAACATGAACACACAGATGAGCTTAATGAAATGCATAGGCTGTCCACAGGGTTGCTACTGCACCTGAAAATGCACAATGAACCCATGTCCTAATAGAATATATGGTGCTATGATTCAGATGAGTGATGTTAAGTGTGTATACCTCTTAAAATATTATATTGTAGCATCCTGTTGCACTTTCACTTAGTATCAATTAGTTCCACAGTGTCACATGCAACATTAATGCTCTATAGAATGTATTAAAATCTATTCACTTTATTTACACTACATGTTTTGACCAATGTTGTCACACAGTGTAACACAACAGGAAGGAACACAACCCACCACCTTGAGGGGACTATATATTATCAACCTAACCCCCCACCTTGAGGGGACTATATTATTATCAACCTAAGCAATGATATAAAAGATAGCAGTTTCCTCATCCATAATTTTTAACACCTGCTTAGTGTTGCATGTGAGACTGTGGAACTAAGTGATACGAAGTATGTAGTCGTATACCACCTAAAGATGACCCGGAAATAGTGTTGAAACATCTAGTGGGGTAAGAATAAAAATGCTCTTAACGATAGATAGTTGTTTTCATGGTGCTGAAAGAATTATATATGCGTGGATAATTACAGACTTCAGCAGTTTATTCCCTTTCTTGTTAATATATTATAGGTTTTTATATCATGTTACTTGGAATGTTATTTTTTAATTATTATTTTATTTAAGTTTCAATATTACACTTGGCATGATATGTCCATTACATATACTTTTTATGGAATGAATGCATCTCTTTGGTTTTGAGTTTTGGCTGTGCATATGTTTCATAGAGCTTGGAATGTATAAAATTGATTACCTAACTTCAGCTTATCATATACTCTGCTACATTCTGAAAGAATGTGTGAATCATGCATACAAATGTATAAGCACGTTTTATTACTCTGCAGTGTGTACTTATATGCCTTAAAGTATGCAGTGGAACCCTCATTTAATGTTTGACTTAACAGTTTCTCTCATTTTATGTCTGGTTTTAATGATCAGAAGTCAATAATCTCTTATGTTAACTTCGTCTTTGTAAAATATTCCTCTGTTCAGTGTCAGATTGATTTCTCCCCAACATAACCTGAAATGGGGATTGCACTGTGCTTTATAAATGGGGTCATGCATTACAGAGCATGAGGAACTGAAGAACATAGCTGCAGACATTTTTCATATTGTAGTGCATCAACATAAATGTGCCAGAATCATTGATACAGGGTAAGTGGTATATGGACTGGGACATATTAACCTTAGGTCACTGCTAATGATGTTAATTTATTGATTAGAATCACAAATACCATGAAGAAAAGCATAAAGCACCATCTGATACTAGTAAGGAGGTTGGTCTAGTACTAAACACAGAGAAGTACAGTAAAACTTCAGTATTGTGTAGGTGTCAGGAGACAGAATGATAACCCACATTTTGGCAACCTGTGATATTTCAGGAAATTTTGTGGGAAATAATTGTTTAACATGAAATTTTTTGTTTGTAACAAATTTAATATCAAATTAAAATAAAGAATGATAACATATGAGTATTTAGGTTTAATCAGTGTTTTTAAAAGAATGTAATATTTTGTTTTGTTATGGCATTTATTTGTCACATGTATCTTATAAATGTTTTGCAAATGTCAAAGATGGAGGTTATCACAGTCAGTCCATCTGTCAGATTCATCACATCACTGATGCTGTCCAGTACTTGGCTAGTTCTATGGGTCTCATGCTCATACATTTTGTCATTCTTGCTGTCATCTTTCAACATTTCCAACTTCCCACATTGATTCCAACACTGGAGGGCTTTTCCATAGGCTCCATAGACAAGCATCATTGTCCCCATACCAAATCACTGATCACATGCAAGGTCATATTATCCACTCAGAGCAGCCAACTAGATGCATTCATTTGAACAAAGTTGTTTACAGAGAAAAATTTGCAGTTAAGTGGTAACATAGTTGTTTACAGGGGAAATAAATGGAATCATTTTGGGAGACATGATTAGAGCCATGATATATCTGAATAGTAGTGAGATACAGTATAACAAAGATTTGCTGTATATATTGATTTCATCACCAAAATGCAGGGCGGAAAACGTGAAGAGAGCTAATGCATGCTTTGAGAATGTGACTAGTTTCAAATGTTTGGGAATGACACCAACAAACTAAAATTGCATTTTTGAAGAAATTAGGGTCACATTACACGCAGGGGATGCCTGTTACCTGATTGAGGTACTGTCTGCAGTACTGCAGTATAATATGTCAGGTCAATAAGCTTGGAATCACAATTACCAGTACCCATTGGAAAAATAGTTCAATTGGCGCATTTCTGCACAATTCTTTCGCCGGCCGGATAAAATCACATCGCGGGCCGTAGTTTGGAGACCCTTGATCTAGAAAATAAGTTATGTATCTTTAAATAGCCTTGTGTGTAGTGAGTTTGTATTCTTGGTTTCTCTTGTGTGAGAACTCCATTGGGACTGCACATATGTTTTTTATTTATATGACATATTCCACATCCTACAGTCATTTTGACTAACTTTAGATCCATGCAATGCAACGTAATGTAATGTAATGTTTCAGAGGACAGTGTTGTGTCCATCTTCAAGGTAGAAGAGGGAGACAGCAGGTTTCTCTGAAATGGAATGCAGTGCTACTAGACTACATGGCACTACAACACAGAAGTTTGCAGTTTAAATAGTCACTGCTTTTAGATTCTCATTTACATTGCTTGAAGCTCAGAGTCAGCATCATCATATTTGAAGGGTATTGTCTTTTGAGTTCAAAGCAGTGTGAATGGGATCTGAGAATCTCAAAACAGTGAATATCAAAACTGCAGTCTTCTGGGATGTGATGCCATGTTGTTTAGAAAAAGCATGATGGTTTGGTGCAGCATATCACTCTGCTTGCTGCCAGGTCATGTGTTCCTCCAAAATTACAGAATGTGCTGGTTTCATGCATGGCTGAGTCTTCAACCATGAAACAAGGTAAAACGTTCCTCCAAAACATCAGGATCTCCCCACACTTCATGGCGTTACTGCCCAAAAGACCATACTGGTCATAGTCACAGCCTTGCAAACCTCAAATCCAACATAAAATTTTACAAAAGAAAGTAATCACATGAAAAATGTGGGAGCATGAAAATTAAAATCTGTAATATTTATATACATGGTGTTTAGTTAAGTATGAAGAAATCTCTGTGTAATGTGATATTTGTAATAATGGTTGGTAGAGGGGGGGGGGCGTAGAATTTTATGCTGCTATCACTACCTAGACTGTGTAGAGCTGAATAGTGGGGTGATCTGTGAATTGCAAAGGATTTGGAAGTGGTGGTGACCTAATTGGGGTACTATCCTAGCCTTTGCTGAAGGGATTAAGGAAAAGTATGAAAGACCTCAGAGAGGATAGCCGATGTTCCAGCAATCCTACACACGCAAGTCTAAGAACATTACTGCTAGACCAACCTGCTTGGTATCTGTGCAGTTGTTCAACTTTGTCAGCATCAGATTTATGTCTGCAAGAAATTAACTTTAAAATTATATGATGGGGAATGTGTGTACTTGTGTACTCCAAATTAGAGTACACTTTTCTATCGTATTTATGTTTCTGCACATGCAATCAGTAGAGAGCATTTTTGTTGCTTGCTTGATGTAATTTACTGTAATTTTATAATGATAATTAATTTTATGACGTGCACTGCCGTTCCTCATGAGCTGCCTCTGGCAAAATCATATTGCTGTTATGTGTAGAATGTAAGTTGTGCCCCAGAAGATAATTAGAGATAATGTTTGTAGAACCAGGTGGTGACTCCTGCACTAAGTGTGTATGGAGATAATTTGCTGGAAGATGGCAGCGGTGGAGGGGATGGCAGCCAGCTGGACCTGGAGATGGAGCAGCAGTTACTGGAGCAGAGACTGCGACAGCAACAGCGGGAATCTGAGGAAGATGGCCGGTGGTTGGCTGAGGAAGAAACGAATTTGGTGAGTTTATTTTATGGGTGCAGACAGTGCTGTGAACTAGTTTGTGGAGAGCGATGTAGTGTTGTTTGAAATCCTTAGGTATAAGAGGGTAAGACTTACTTCTCCATTGTTATTTATGTTACGTATATGTGGTAGCAATTAGTTATCAGTAAGACCAGAATATGGATGCTGTAGGTGACACTTCAAGGGTTTTCTTCAATTGGTGTTTAATAAGTTTAGTATCTTAATGCACGCAGATGACAGAATTTCTATATTTGATATTAAAATGGGCTACAGATTGCTGTATAGAGCAATTCTGGAGGATTCTGATGATTGCATATTATGCTTCGTACTGCTAGCTTTCTGGCCTTCGTCATTTGATATTTACTATTGATTGAATTATGGTTAATGGAGACTGAAACCAAAGGAAGAGCAGAAATTAAATTCTGATTTATGCAACCATTCATCCAAGCATAGCTATTGCTTAATTTGGGGGTTACCTTCATTACATGCATGGTGATTCAAAGCATACTTTGATAGATTTATTGCAACTGAAATATTCCAGTTAATATCTAGTTCAAACATGTTTTTTTCTTTTCTGACATGATCAGACTTAATGTAAATGTAATGTTAATACTATCTTTAATTCTGTCCATCTTTTCATAGGATATAATACAGTAGTTCTTCAGATGTTTATTATATTTCTGCTGTACTCATGCTTTCTGGCTTTGCTTTTCCTTTGCTTGCACATATACTACTGCAGAAGAAGCGATTGTCCATTGCAACGAGCCTCTCGGACCGATCTGACACAGATTCTGTCGATGGCTCTCCACTACATCACGGTGGCAGTGCTGCAACCCCTCCCTTACCTTCCTCTGCCACTCCTCCTTCGACCATCTGCCGCACCAGTTCACAGCACGACTCTTCTGAACGGGACCGTTCGTCAACACCTCTGAGCAATGGTTCAGCTGAGGACAGGGTCATTGTTGTCAAGGTACCTTCATAGCCAGAGTTGTGTGAGATGTGCTTTCTTGTATTTTGTGTTGTTGTACATATTGAAATGCTGCTTGTTTCTTTCACAAACTGTTGCCATTCATCGAATGAGATTTGTGGTTCTATCAGTGCTGCCATTGCCACTGACTGAGTGACTCACTGTATTCAGTACTCTTGAAATGCTTCCTCTGTCATGCTGGCTGGTGAGCCTCATTTCATTGTTTGTATATTTATAGTACATTCACTGCTCTTTGATGAAAGATTTTAATTCATGTTCATAGGAACAAGTTCTTGTGCTGTTTTTATGTACAGATGCTAGTAAGTTGTTGAGCATTTGTATTTTGAGGATCAACTCTGTTTAACTTTATTGGCCAGATTTAAATCTCCTGCTAATACAGCACTGATGACCAGACTTTAACGTGTTAATAGTGGGATTTACATGGTAGAAATTATGAGACTAGCCCTGCCGGTCCCTGCCAAATCAGCACATGCACTAGTGCAGTTGTGCAACATGCAGACGATAAAGGTTAATATTGCGACATGATGCCTGAAAGCTGGAATAATGCAGCCAGAGGAGATGTACATTGTGAGGCAATGGCATTCAATAAATTCAGTAATCTATCCAAACCCTTGATCTCGTCACTAACACATGTCAGTATTGGTCTTGTGGAATGTGACACCATGTATTTTTTTTTCTGTGGCGCTACAGCCCCAATTTGGGCCTAGGCCTACCTCCATGAAACCCTCCGTTTCATTTCGGTTTACTAGATCTTACACAGACGGTAGGACTCCTTGGGCGAGTGATCAGCTCGTCGCAAGGCCTCTACCTGTAGAGAAACACAGAAAAACGCACACAAACATCCATGCCCTGAGTGGGATTCGAACCCATGATCCCGGCTTCTGAGCGAGCCAAGACAGTGCATGCCTTAGACTGCTCGGCTACCGTGACTGGCGACACCATGTAATAGGGTGGATAATTACCAATATTTCAGAGGAACTGGTACCTGTTGGTTATAATACAGGGCATCTCATCCAAGAAGACCGTAATCTTAATCATCCAACATTTTTTTTATTCACAATTTATTTTAGGATGCTCTCAATAACTCAAGCTATATGTTGTTAAGTGTGTGGTGATTAACCAATAATGAATTAGAAGTTATATGGAAAGATGTGGCTNATCTAGTTCAAACATGTTTTTTTCTTTTCTGACATGATCAGACTTAATGTAAATGTAATGTTAATACTATCTTTAATTCTGTCCATCTTTTCATAGGATATAATACAGTAGTTCTTCAGATTTTTATTATATTTCTGCTGTACTCATGCTTTCTGGCTTTGCTTTTCCTTTGCTTGCACATATACTACTGCAGAAGAAGCGATTGTCCATTGCAACGAGCCTCTCGGACCGATCTGACACAGATTCTGTCGATGGCTCTCCACTACATCACGGTGGCAGTGCTGCAACCCCTCCCTTACCTTCCTCTGCCACTCCTCCTTCGACCATCTGCCGCACCAGTTCACAGCACGACTCTTCTGAACGGGACCGTTCGTCAACACCTCTGAGCAATGGTTCAGCTGAGGACAGGGTCATTGTTGTCAAGGTACCTTCATAGCCAGAGTTGTGTGATATGTGCTTTTTTGTATTTTGTGTTGTTGTACATATTGAAATGCTGCTTGTTTATTTCACAAACTGTTGCCATTCATCGAATGAGATTTGTGGTTCTATCAGTGCTGCCATTGCCACTGACTGAGTGACTCACTGTATTCAGTACTCTTGAAATGCTTCCTCTGTCATGCTGGCTGGTGAGCCTCATTTCATTGTTTGTATATTTATAGTACATTCACTGTTCTTTGATGAAAGATTTTAATTCATGTTCATAGGAACAAGTTCTTGTGCTGTTTTTATGTACAGATGCTAGTAAGTTGTTGAGCATTTGTATTTTGAGGATCAACTCTGTTTAACTTTATTGGCCAGATTTAAATCTCCTACTAATACAGCACTGGTGACCAGACTTTTAACCTGTTAATGGTGGGATTTACATGGTAGAAACTATGAGACTAGTCCTGCCGGTCCCTACCAAATCAGCACATGCACTGGTGCAGTTGTGTAACATGCAGACGATAAAGGTTAATATTGCGACATGATGCCTGAAAGCTGGAATAATGGAGGCAGAGGAGATGTCCATTGCTAGGCAATGGCATTCAATAAATTCAATAATCTATCCAAACCCTTGGTCTTGTCACTAACATGTGTCAGTATTGGTCTTGTGGAATGTGACACCGTGTAATAGGGTAGATAATTACCAATATTTCAGAGGAATTTGTACCTGTTGGTTATAATACAGGGCATCTCATCCAAGAAGACCGTAATCTTAATCATCCAACATTTTTTTTATTCACAATTTATTTTAGGATGCTCTCAATAACTCAGGCTATATGTTGTTAAACATGTGGTGATTAACAAATAATGAATTAGAAGTTATATGGAAAGATGTGGCCATGACCTAGTTGAAGGTACTATACAGGAATTTGCTTCAGGGATAAGAAGACCATGAAAACACCTTAGTCAGGATTGTAGGTGTTCCAGCCAAGGGTCAAAGTGTCACCTCCCAAATACAGGTCACAAATGTTATTTCCTGAGCCACAGAAAGTACTNAGCCGCGGCCGCGGAATTTAAATGACCACGTCAAAGGGTTAAAGCACACACATGTGCGCCTGCACATCTGTAAATAATCATTACACTGCTTGTTGTGTGGACATGAAAAGAAGTTGCTTGTTTTGACAGAACAGTGTAGATGGAATGTAAAGTGGGTTGCATGCTGTAGGATGATGTTTAATGTTAAGGTTATGACCATGCAGCTTGATCCATGGGTACCAATATTTTGGATTGACCTTCTGCATTCCTCTTCAAGCTAGATGTTGGTGGAAGCAGTAGTCTCTGAAACATTTGTGCCTGTCTTCCAAACTACACAGTGTCACATCCCTAAACACCATAACTGAGGTTCAGAAAAGTACTTGATAACAATTGAAAGTACATCCTAAATTGTGCATCCCTGGTCTTTGTCAGTGTAGAACTGAGATTCATTCTAATGGCATACTTCACAGAATCATGCTATATATATATATCATATTTACTGTTATTTTGATCTTCAGGTGAATCAGAAGGGAGAAGTGCACAACCAAAGCTCTGCAGAACAAAATAATACATGTAATTACTTAAGTTCGGAAAGGATGAACTTATGAATGTGACAAAACTTGTTTATGTGCTGTGAAGCATGATTTAAAGTGTGTTGGGGGAGAGGTTCAGTTCCAGCAGCTGATGTAAGATGTGGTCTGTGTCACCTTTTTATGGTGGTCAGCAACGAATTTCTGCATAAGTAGAAATTGATACAGAAATTAAGGCGGCAAGCCACGTGCTTCTGTCTCAGTTAATATGCTATACTAGGTTGTTCCAAATGTTGTCTATAAATAATGTCTCTCTGATTAGAGCTTATTGAATATCATTCACTTCAGAATAGTCCCCTAGCACAGCAATATACCTCTCTCACTGCCATTACCACTTTCGGAAGCATTGTTCAAGGGATCTTTGTTGTATCGCTTTCAAGTGTTCATCGTATCAGTCTTCCTCTGTTTGAAATTGTCTTCCTTCAAGGGTAATTTTGAGTTTAGGGAATAGAAAATGTCAGAATTGGAGAGGTCAGGTGATCAGGGAGGTTGTGGAAGGGTAGGAATTGTCTGACGGTGCTTTGTGGGCAGGTGCATTATCATGATGGAGGAGCCAGCTTCCTGCAGTACACATTTCAGGTCACTTTCTCTGTACCACATCTCACAAACGTCTCAGACCCTCCAGATAAAGATCTTGATTAATTTTGTGACCTTCAGGATTGAGTTCATAGTGCACAGTGCCTAGAGGGTCAAGAAAAGAAAGACAAGCAACACTGGTTTCACTTGTGAGCGCATCTGTCATGCTTTCTTGGGGTGAGATGAAGCAGAACTCTTCCAGCGGGAGGATTGTTGTTTGGTTTCATTGTCATAACCATAAACCCACATATCACCGGTAATGACATCTTGAGATTTTTACCGATGGAAAATTGTTGCAGTTTTTGATCATCCATCAAGAGTCTTGGCACAAATTGTGTGGCATGAACCGGTGGATATTCCAACCTCTTCTGCTACTTCTGAGACAGTCATTTGTTGATTTCCGTGGACAGTGTTTTTACGTGGGCAATCAGAAGTTCGGATCTTGAAACTGAATGTCGGCCAGACCACTCATCATCTGTTCCATTTTTAAAACTTTTAAACCATTCGTAGGTCATCATTTGACTTGAAGTATCATTGTCATAAGCTTCATGCAAAATGATGTGGGTTTCTGCAGCTGTATTCTCTACTTTGAAATGGAGTTCAACACAAATTCTTGCTCCCTTATGTACGCCATACTCAATGCAGTGAGACAACAACATGCCCGATCACAGAACTTGTTATAAAAACTAAACAGAACATCTGTTCTACTTGAAATAAAATGGCTTGCATAGCTAATGGTGAGGTTGCAAGCTCACTTAAATAGCACCTGACATGACTGATGCACTGCTGATATGTAGACAGATTTCAGGAACTTTCTGAACGCAGCACATGTGTATGTATATAATGTTCTGTTCATAAGTGGAGAAATCACACTTAAAGTGGAAGAGAATATAAGAGAATATATTTGAATATTTTTCTGCTGGCCCTCTTTGTGTGTGTGTGCACGCATGCATGCACTGATCTTGGGTGAGCAGACATGTTGGTTTGTTGAAACCTGTTTATAAGTAACATACTAGAGGTAAGTGTTGGCTCCTGTGTCAGAAGATATGGGGGGAGTGGAGATACAGCTTGTGCAGGCTTAACGAAGGTACTGCATGGAAGTAAGCAGTTTGCTTCACATTACCACTGCTTTATCTTTATGGAAAGGACCTCCCATGTCTGTCACCATATCCATCAGATAAGTACCTGGTTTTGATCCAGAGTTATTCTGGACGTGATAATGAAGTGAGAAATATTTGGTCTTACTGGAAACTTAACCCTGTCCATCCAGTCCACAGGTTGTCACTTTAATAACTGAACTACCCCATCTGCTGTCTGCTCATCACATGTGCACAGTCCAGCTGACTGGTCATAGAATTTTACTAATATTAATACCTTTAACTATCAGTTAAAATATGGCTGTCAGCCCGGTAGTAGCAGGAGATTTCTGGGTGATGAACTGTTGCCCCCTGAACTAATATATGGCACCAAGCCTAAACTATTAGAAGGCTTAAAATTCATATTTCTAGATGATAAAGATTTGAAGAAACTAGATCTTACTTATTCTATCCTTAAATTACTGTGAACACGCTGATTACATTGCATGCCACTTTGGTCAGGATGTTGCATCAGTAAAATTTTATCATATTCATGTATGAAGATGCTTGTTTATATTTTTGTTGTTGATTAAGTGCACTGTCTAAACTCTAAAGCACTGTAGTTAGTTAGTTATTGGAGAGGGTGGGTTTCCCTGTGCACTGAGACCAGTATTGGTCCATTGTGCTTACCTCTATGATATTCTACTAGTCTCTATACCCTGCCGGTATTGGTGTGTACCATCAGTCCCGACCGAGCCAGCGAGTTCGGCCTTTACTGGCTTGGTGGTATCTATAATGCTTCCCCCATCTATCAGAGGCGTTAGAGACTACTGTTGGGTGGGAAATGTCCTTGAATTTAGCTCAGTGACCTCCTTTGGAGATATGAGGTTCTTTTACGTGCCGTAAAGCTACAACACGGGACCCATGGCTTAAAGTCCCTCCCGGAGGACTTGTTCCCTGAATTTTTCCGCCCTTAAAAATTCCATGACCTCCGCTGGGTTTGAACCTGCGTACCACGAGTCATGAGGTGGGAACGTTACCCCTAGACTACGGAGGCCGCTTAAAGCACTGTAAAAGCTATCCCTATAACCGGCCGTGGAGGCACATAGGGTTGTGAGATATAGAGGTTCCCACATTTTCTACACAGTCCTCTCAAAGATGGTGGCCACCCTTTACCCCAGGGTCTGTGGCTGGAAGGATTAAGTCAATTGAAAAATCTACTGGCCTTATTGGGAATCAAATCTGTGTCCTTCCAGCTTATAGCATAGTGCTTCAACCAACTGTGCTACCACATGCCCCTTATAAATCATTGTTTTCATAGGAAATTTGGTTGTGTAAGTTGGATTTGATGTTGTCATGGCAGCTACTATGAAGAGCAAGGTCTCCTGAGTTGTGACACCATGTAGTTTGGAGAGAGCTTTATGTTTTAGAGGAATATATTGGCTGTCTTTTTAGCCCTCAAGATGGAGACAATATATTTCTCTAAAATGTCTTACACTCTCCTAATTACACACACCCAAGAAGACTGTATCTAATATTATATAAGTTTTGAGATTTTCACAGTAATGAATGTTCAGGTCATGGATGTTTTAAAATAAATGTGCTTTTGCTTTTCACAGATTAATAACAGAAGCCTGTCTTAGAATTTTCAAGTTAACATTGAACTATAAAGTGTATCAAGTAAAAGCAATGTTAATATCCAAAGTTAAAGGCCCAGAGTGATTATTTATTGCAGTGGGGAAGTGTTTTATGTTGTGGAGCTACTTACATAGTAGAGGCAACTTTTATTCCATTTAAGTGTTTCTTTGCAATTCTTTTGTGTAAAGTGTTTCACAGGGTCCCACAATTTTCAGCAGTTATATCATGGTCACATTGCTATATTTGTTCTGGCCATTAAACGTGGTGGATGTATAATCACATGATTTCTTTTTAACAGAAGATGGAACCAACACCAACTGCTGATCTGGACCGCTCCAATGACAAAGTGTACGAGTGCACAACGAGTGTCGTTAAGGCTGTCATGTCACTGTCACAAGGTAAGATCTGTTAACATGCACCTTTGCAGCTGTAAACCCTTTAATGCATAGCGGTTACTATGTGTACCACCAACTTTATCATTCAGAAACATGTATTTTGCCGAAAGAGTGTATTTATATTGTATTTACATGGTTTATATAATTCTCAGAATAAACTGTGATTGTTTCCCCCTAACAACGTTAACCGATTGGTCTCTTTAATGGAGACTGTTTCCGGTGGAGCGGGAACTTAGTTTTTAAATATCATGTAGATGAACTTCAGTCTTGAAAGGGTTAACCATCTAGTGACATGCTTAATATTATTCATATCTCTGAGCACGACGCTGTAGTGAAAATCCTGTTTGATGGATCCCTGGGAGAATGTCTTCTCTTATTCTAAATTGAGATTTTCATGAAACGGGGCTTGATAAGTTCAGTCTTTGGACATAACACCATACAATCTCTTGAAAGTCAACTGATGTTTCCATCTTTCAAGGATAAAGAGCAAGCCAAGCAAGGAACCAGTATGAAGCAGGCAGCAAGCTTTGGGCTTACTCATAATTACATTAGTTACATAATCAAGAATATCAAATCAATTTCTTAAACAGTTAACAGTGTGTGAAGCAAACACAGCAGCTGTGTGGCAACAGTTCCAGGCAAAGAGAGGAAGTTAATATTGTTATTTAATCTGCAGTCATATTAAATGACCTGTGGAAGATCAACATTTTCTTCCACTAACTGCAGTTTTTATTGATTTTTTATTTTTTACAAACTTGAAATCCACTAAATATTTCTTTATTGCTAGTGGGGTGGGACTAAGTCCCTTGTACTGCAGCCACTTCTGGCCTATTGTACCAGCCCCAGATGATAGGTGAGGGTGACTGTGGAGCAATTGGTGGAATGAAGATTGGCAGGGGAAACCGAAGTACTCGGAGAAAACCTGCCCCAGCGCCACTTTGTCCACCACAAATCCAACTTGACCAGACCCTGGATCGAACCTGGACTGCTGCGGTGTGAAGCCAGTGACTAACCGCTTCAGCTTTGGCATGGCCTTACTAAATATGATAAAATAGTACATTCTGTTATGCTTTGGCTGGTGCCAGAAAGGTTGTTCACTAGATCCAGGTTTTAATTAAATGTGGGCACACAAAATTAGGATTTCACAGGAGGTATGGATGTGGTCAGTCTCACTCTCCAACAATATCTCCCCTCCCCAAAATGGGAAGAGCCTCATATACTCATTGCATGATTTGAGGTTTTAACAATTTTGTATATTAAGGCTGTGGTCATATAAAAAGAAAACTCATGGCAGGAAGGAGGGAGATGAAATGAGACTGAAAATTATTTAAGGGGAAAAGAAAGGCAAAGGAAGTGGGGAAAAGAGGAAGGAAGGCAGAAGAGGGAAATGTAAGGAAGGAAAAGTGAAAAGGAGGCTCAGGAAAGATAAATTCTTTCTAGGGCCATCTGTTCACTCATAGCCCTGGGTCTGAACCCTCCCCTATGTTACCGTCACGTGTATCCTGATAACGCAACGGTAAATAATGGGTTCCGGATTTGATAACGCAATTTATTGGATAATTTCACATGTTATAACTACAATTCATTATTACACTTTCAAGATTGCTGTGTCTATGACATAAACAATTATAACACTCTCAAGGTTAAGACATCAACTAGTGAACTGCCTTTATGACATCTTCCTGACAGATCCTGTCTAACAGTCTTCACTGCTTCTTATATAGGCTTGGCGCAGACCATGCACAAAAGACCCAGTTCTATTGTTGCATAAGGAAGACCACACAGAAAACAAGTCACATGATTCCTAGCTGTGTGCTGTTGCCTAGCAATGCGAAATAGCTTTCCACCATAAGACACATTTTCCATTGTTGCCTTGCATGCATTCAGTCGCGGGGTGTTCAGTGGTCCATTACCTAGCAACGCTCTGACCATCCATGTTGCATTACATATCCTTTTCTCCCCTGAAATGATTTCACATATTCTGCCCTGAAGATGGAGATAGCAGATTGTTCTGAAATGTTGGAGTATCTTTAACAGACTACATGATGTTGCATCCCAGAATACCAACATGGTGGTGATTGTTCAGATTATGGACCATGTGGTTTGTGACACAGTGTAGTCTTGTATGTGGATGACAGTGTTTCAGAGGGACATGCTGCCTACATCTTGAGGGTTGAAGTGTGTATGGGGAGGAATTGGTTTGTTTATACAGACAGGTTGTAGGGATGGTGGTGATCACTCAGACCTGTGTCCTCCTACAAGACTGCCCACAATTTGCACATGTACACTGATTACACATTTAACTCTCATAGGATTTTGTGGTGAAATGGGAAAGTTTTTTGTTATCAGGTGTGCAACAGAGTCAGGCGGATCAGTACTTGGAACTGGTGCGACGTGTGGGCATGGAACTGAGGGCACTGCTGTCTAGTGTTGATGCTCTTGTTCCTGTGTTTCCAGCCCTGGCCCATAGAGAGGTATGTACCTGTTTCAGACTCTTCTCTTGATATTGTCACATATAGTATGTGCAACTGTAGACAGGGTTTGGATTGGTGAATAGATTTATTGACAACTTACAGGTCGTAACTACAAATAACTATAACACTATCACTACTTTCACACACTACAGTTCATGAGAGCGCACAGTCTAGTGTTCTCAGTCTGTTAATAGATGTTTTGTGGTAATGGCTTAAACAATGGCTATTCTTCTGCCTCTGGGTTCAAGTCCCCTCTTCACAGATTCCTGTACACAGCTGAACTGGGTCTAAAATTATCCCTTACTTACAGTATCTTGACGTGGACCACACAGAAACGCAGCTTATCCATTCCAACTGTTGCATTATTAAGAATCTGCTGCCTAGCAACAGAAGCATGTTTACTTAGCTGTTGCCCAGAAATGACCCTAGTATATTGGCCCATCTCATGGTCATTGCATAGCAACAGGTCTGCACGCTACAGTATATCAGATAAACTTATGAGAGAAGGCTTATGGCTGACTTTATTTTTTGTTGTTTTGTATGTTTTAAGGTAAATTTGCTGTCCATAATTACACCATATACCATGAAGGCATATGGGATAGTGGAGACATAACTCCATGCATTCTTAACCTTATCATTGGATGTGAGTGGCTAATTTCATGTCCTGGCCACTTTACACCCATAGAAAGAGCTTCTGATGTCCAGTAGAGACTAAACTGGGTAGGCCCCAGTGCTGGTGTGGATGCAGTGGAAAAACAAAACAATATCTTGCTCTTGCCTAGGATTCAAACCCAGGCTCCTTGGCTATCACACCTGTAGCCAGCCATTATACCAACAAAGCTACTTGGCTGCTGTGTTTTGTCTGTGGAAGTACTTAGTGGAGTGTGATTATGTTTGGTTCTGTGGTCTGCACTGAAAATTGCCAGTGAATTTTGTTTTGATCCATATTAACAGATACTGAAGAGAACTGCATACAGGATATTGGTGAGAAAGCCAGAAGGAAAGGGACCACTAGGAAGGCGAAGATGTAGATGGATGGATAATGTTAAAATGGATCTTAGGGAGATAGGATGGGGTGGTATGGACTGGGTTGATCTGGTTTAGGACAGGGACCAGTGGAGGGCTCTTGTGAACATGGTAATGATCCTTCAGGTTCTATAAGATGTTGGGAAATTCTTCAGTAATTGCACAACTGCTGGCTTCTCAAGATGGGTTCAGCTCCATGGAGGTAGTTAATAGTAAATACAGTCAACCCAAAGAAAATATTCCCGTGCCAACAGTTGACCATCATCACAAACTTTTAGAACCAGTAGATTCAGAAGTTGACAGATTAATATATGATGTTTTAGCACCTGTTGATGCTCCTCGGTGTTGATAAGAATAAGACTTCAGAGGCCATGAGATTACTGGCATCAGATCAACAGTCCCTGCTATTTGTATAAGCAGGTAGTAAAAATATGGCTCTTGCTTGGGAGGTACTCATTCCAGTTCTTGGTTGGGGCACTGATTTTTCTGATTGAGGTTTTCCTCATTTTCCTCAGTCCCTCCAAGTAATTGTCAACATAGTACCTGAAATTAGGCCATGACCACTTCCTTCCACATCCTTTCCAGTTCAGTTTTTATTAACCATCATACCATTTGGTGCTATATAATCTGAGCTATTGATAGGATCATTAAATAAACCATATCATAATAAATAGCACTTGATGAAATGTATTTCAGGTGGAGATGGCACACAAAGTCCTGAGTAAGGACATGGGAGAACTTGTCAGTGCCATGAAGTTAGCACAGAACTATAGCACTACCACACTGGATGCTGAGTACAGAAAGTAAGTATCCATTTCTGCAGATACTTTTATATGACAGTTGAGATACAAGATGGCCTGATATTGGAGTCAGAGCAGATCTCCAAAACATTAGCTTTGTTCTCAAGTTTTGTGTGGCTGATTGTCTGACAAGACTTCAACATGTTCATTTATCTTAAAAGCTTCACATTTTACGTAGGTAAGTAACTAATGAAACTATTGTAGTGAATAGCCATTCAGCTAAAGAAGACCTTTCTTCTTTCCATGGGGCTACAAGACTCATTGCAATGACGATAGAAGTCCACCATCAAGCCATATCTATGTCACTTGAGTCCAGACATATTGTCATGTGTTGGGTATATGTCATGTGACAAATAACTTCACACTGTATTGAATATAGCGAATTTATTGAACACTCATTCTCACAGTTATACCACTACTGCCATCTGCAGTATCACAATTACTTCTCCTGTTGGAGTCACTGCCATTCACTTGATACAACTCAATAACAGTGGATTTCAACTCACTCCGGCGAATGCTAGACTGTGACTGACTGGTTACTCTGGTTGCTCCCTGTTATGTAGCTTCCACACTGACAACACAGAAAACAGTTACGTGATATCTTTCACTGTTGTGTGATGTCATGTTTACCAGCGTTGCTGGTGAATGCTGCCGAGAGTTGTTTATTGCTGCATAGTAACCGTGGTGTCCCCTGTTATGTCACAATGGGAAGTGCTGTTACGTCACTGCAGGAGGTGACGGAGTGTTTACTGGCCTGTTACCATAGCAGTGGCAGTTGCTCCGATGCTGTTATGTTACCGCTGGAAGGGGGGTGTCCTGCATAGCGCAAACATGTCACAATATTTAGTTCAGTCTGTTTGCTAATCTGACTGAATTTGGTATGCGTTTATTTAAACATTAACTGTGTATAAATTGAAAATTGCAACAGAGAGAATCTTAATGTGGAAGACATAGCTCTGGAGACATTTTAGTCATCAAGAAGTGTTGATATAAAACATAAATTATAACAGATCCAACGGTATTTTATTGACCAGATAATAACCATTAATATTGTCACATGTAGGGGTTGTGTGTGTGTGTGTGTGTGTGTGTGAGTGTGTGACGNTAATAACCATTAATATTGTCACATGTAGGGGTTGTGTGTGTGTGTGACATATAGGATGGGTTCTGGATTGTATGACTGGATTTATTGATACCTTATTCACACAACTTAGGACTACATGCAATTACAGCACTATCTCTATTCTACACTTTACAGTTCACTCTTGCGCACACACTGGGTATCTCAGACTTCACTAGTCCTATCCTGGCAACGGATTTATAACAGTCTCACTGTCACTTCAAATCACACATGAAGTCTTTCACAGCCTAATTCCTACTTGCCATTATTCTGCAACTGCCAATTCCAAAGACTCTACTCAATTCCGTGCCTCTGCTTTCTAGCTCATATCCTGGCATTTTGGTGTCTCAAAACTTGACCTGACTCGATTACTGCCAGCTTGAGAACTCTTCCTTATAACCACTTTGCACAGATCACACGTAAAACACAGCCTCTCCATTATTGGGAAGGCATGTTTACAGCACCATTGCATAGCAATGGTAGTTATTTGATTGTTGCTTACATATTTGATATTGTGAGAATGTGTTTACCAAGTTGTTGCCTAGCAATGAATGTCTATTCTGACTTTGCTATTCTGGCTTTCATGCATCATGTTAAGATAATGCTGGTGTTATGGAATCTTAACCTTTGTCTGAAAAGCTTACTGTGTGTGTTCAACCTGTATCTTGTAACTGTCCTTTCAAGGGGCCTTTTTCTTGGTTCAGATTCAAGGTAAGTCAAACTCTTTTAGAATAGTTATCCTATATTTGTTTTGAAAGAAATTTGAGAAATTAGAAGTGAATCAAATTGGGCAGTGTTGTTTCTATTTATTAGAAGCAGGAAGTAGGCCATAAACTGCTCTAGTTTGGAATTAAAGTTTTCTTTTCCTCACTTTGGATTTATAACATGTTTTCTTTTCCAAATAAATTGTTACATAGGAGGAGACCATACAAACACAGGGAAAGGTGCAATATCAAAACTTGAATAACAGACCCCCTTGCTTCTTGGCATCCAGTGTCCTTTCAGATGCAATGTGTTGCTATAAGTCTTAGGATAAATTGTACCAGGTCGCTTTTGACATTTGATATGAATCCAAAAGAATCAAGCTTCTACCTTATGAAATTCTCAAACTAAGAAGGTGATTTGTGTTTGAAGCATAGCATTGCTGCTGATTCTTATGTAGCACGCAGCTAACAAACTTTTCAAAGGAGTATCTATGTTTGAGATTTTGTCAGCCATGGCAAATTGAATCTCTTCCAAATTCATTAGCTTCTACTCTCTGTGTATGTGTACAGTTTGAATTAAAATTGATATGATGTTCTGCAATAACTGCACCTGTTACGAGTGTCAGATAATTAGTATAGTCAAAAGCTACTCTAATAAAAAGGTAAATTTGTCCCTATGCTTAACTAATTAAGACATATGGGGGAGTGGATGTATGGTTCCCCACATATTCTTGACCTTGGCACTAGCTGGAGGTGAGTGGTCAGCTTCATGCCCTGTCCACTTTACCCCTGGGAAAAGAGTCCCCAGTACCCATTTGATAGGAAGCTGGGCGGGCCCCAGAACTGGCCTGGACAACATGGAGAAGTGAAAATTCTTGCCCTCACTGGGACTTGAACTCCGACCCCTTGCCTGTCCAGCCTGTGTAGCCAGTTGTTATACCGACTGTGCTCTCATGGCTCCCGATGCTCTTCTAGCGCCTGAACAAATATATTTCAGTAATGACCTGTGGTATCATCAGAGTCTGGCTAACACTAACCTTCACCTTCCCACTTCTACTCCATCCTCCATGCTACTCTCTGGTCCTGTTCTTATGTGCTGGGGACTTGTACAGTGAACCCTGCAACCTAACTCCAGTCCTCGTCATCTCATGCCCTTTGCAAAGAACTCAATGCAGGAAAGAAGGGTCACAAACTGTAATTTATGAATTTATATTCCGTAACACTTGGAATTAATCGGTTTTTCAACTTCTTTATCTGGTATTCATAAAAAAGAAAACTAGAGAACAGCGTTTCCAAAACTGGATCTGTTTTTCTCCTCAAGTAAGGGGGGAGACACCTACTCTGTTGGGTCCCATTGAAAGAACTAATCTCAGTCACAGGATCATCATTCTTGTGGACATGGAGCAACAATTTTGACTGTGTTTTTATGGGTGTGAAAGTTGGTCTCTGACATTAAGAGAGGAACATAGACTGAGGGTGTTTGAGAACAGGGTGTTGAGGAGAATATTTGAACCGAAGAGAGATGAAGTGACAGGAGTTTGGAGAAAGCTGCACAATAAGGAGCTTCATAATTTGTACTCTTCTCCAAATTTAATTAGAATGGCCAAGTCAAGGAGGATGAGATGGACAGGGCATGTAGCACAAGTGGGGAGAAGGGGAATCCATATTGGATACTGGTGGGAAAGCTAAAGGAAAGAGACCACTAGGAAGACCAAGACGTAGGTGGATGGGCAATATTAAATGTATCTTAGATAGGATAGGGTGGTATGGACTGTAAAAATCTAGGTCAGGATAGGGACCAGTGTAAGGCTCTTGTGAACACTGTAATGAACTTTTGGGTTTCATAAAATGCTGGGAAGTTCTTGGACATCTGCACGATTGGTGGCTTCTCAAGAAGGGGTCAGCTCCATGAAGTTATTTTAGTTAGTTAGTTGGTTAGTTATGGTTTCTCCGTATCATTTAATGTGAAATGCTTTTATCCTTTACTCATGCCAAGCGTATTAACTTCTGCGAAACTTGGTGACATAATTTCTAGAAAACCTGGGCAGGAAGTGCTCTAGTCACGAAACTGGAAGTGTTAGGAATGAGGAAACAGAGCCAGGTGGCACAGTGTTGCATTATATTGTGTGGTTCAGTATACAGGGCTATTACAAATGATTTTGGGTGAAATGTTACAGCTAAAAACATGGAACAACTTGCAAACGTCATCGAAAATCAAAATGTATATCTGGAGATGTTTTGTATATGCTCCATTAGTTACTTTGCAAATGTCAATGCGATAATCGAATTTTTCCCATGTATACTACAGCTGTGACTCCCTGACATTGGCCGTGGCCTGTAAAATTTGCTCTCAAATGGACCTTAATATCAGGAATTTGTATACCTGGTCTTTCATGTACCCCATATGTAGAAGTTCTGTGCAGTAAGGTCCAGGGATCTAGAGGACGAGGAATTGGTTCTGCTTTTCCTTTCTAAGCCTTCATCTTGTTTTCATCCAAGAAATCTCTCATAGAAATATGAAAATGAGGTTCAGCTGCACCCTGTTGGAATCTGAGTTGCTCTGGAAAATCTTGCTTCAACTGGGATAACAGCCATCCTTCTAGCATGTCCAGGTATGTCAGACCAGTGACAGGGGCTTCCGCAAAGTGGAAGGTGCCATGCATCTTTGTCTTTGGCAAAACACATTGACTTTCAGTGAATCATGGGTAGCTTGCATTGTGATGTGAAACTGCTCAGTTCCTTGGATGTAAACCTTCTTCTTCTTCTTCACTTTTCCATAAAGGTGAACGGTAGCTTCATTATTGAAACGAGATAATGACTAAATTGTTCCGTCAATTTGAGATTGTTTGTTCATATCTTCACAGAATGCTTTTTCATTTTATCTTGTCATTATCAGACAGCTCTTGTACAAGTTGGAGGCAACACGGTCTAAATTGAGGTCTCTTCCACAACACTTTCCATGCTGTGGGTTGTGGGATCACACAGTTGATTTCTGTAGATTTCTCACAAAAGCTTCATGAATGCAATCAACAGTTTCCATGCTGACATGCGGCTGCGCAGTGCCTTTACAGATACACCCTTCATTTGCAAGCCTCAGATTGAGTCAGCTTCAGGGGGTTGTTACCGTATGTCATTCTGAAGTGTCACTGAACTCTTTTCACCAATCTGATCTTGTGAAACCACAAGCAGCATTGTGCCTTTTGCACTTGAGATGCTATTTCTCTTTGATAGTGGTTGGAGCACCACTCATGGTTGATATGTTACAATCAGTGTTGCCAACAAAAACTTGATGAGTTTCCTTGTTGTTTTCAAGTTGTTTTGTGGTTGTATCTATAATTGTTTCAAAAAGACACTAATTTTTTTATCGCCCAAATTATTTGTAACAGTTCTAAGGATGTAAATGTTTCTTTCACACTGTATATTCTTAATATTTACAAAGTGAGTGATGTATTTAGGCCGATATTTGCCATCCTGAAGCCCTCAACTATCTGAACACATGCATAAACTTTACATTAACAGATGTATATGCAATATGCAGTTGGCATGCCAGTATGTCCATTGGGATAAATTATATAGATACCAGATGTACATATCTCTTAATGTAAGGCTTACTTATGTGTTCAGAAAATTGTGTGCCTGAAGGTGGCAGATATGTCCTGGAACATGTTGCTCATGTTGTGAAAACTTAGTTAGTTAGTTATTTAGAGAGGGTGGGTTTCCCCATGCACCGCGACCAGTTTGATCTATTGTGCTTCCCTCTATGATATTCTACCAGTCTCTATACCCTACCGATACTGGTGCTTACCATCAGTCCCGACCAAGCCAGCAAGTTCGGCCTCTACTGGCTTGGCGGTATCTATAATGCTTCCCCCATCTGTCAGAGGTGTTAGAGACTACTGTTGGGCGGGAAATGTCCTTGAATTTGGCTCAGTGACCTCCTTAGGAGATATGAGGTTCTTTTACGTGCCGTAAAGCTACGACACGCGACCCTCAGCTTAAAGTCCCTCCCAGAGGACTTGTTCCCTGAATTTTTCCGCCCTTAAAAATTCCATGACCTCCACTGGGTTTGAACCCGCGTACTACGAGTCATGAGGTGGGAACGTTACCTCTAGACTACGGAGGCCGCTTTGTGAAAACATAAATATAAATCTGTGTATGTATGTGTAAACACAAAAAAGGAATGTAATGACTTTTCCCCATTAGTAGCAACTCTTCTGCAGGAGCACTGATGGAGACACCACATAATGGGTTTCATCAGCTCATAGTGCAGAGTCTGATAACAGATGACACAGCATGTTGTAGTTGGTATTATATGTATAAGGGTAACACTTTCTTGCCATTTTACTGTGAATGGGACCACTTGTCTGCAGAATCTGATAACATACAGCACTGCATGCGTGTTGCCAGTACATCTCTATCATTAAACCTGTTTTTGTTCCAGGGGTATGTTATCGGCTGCACATATTTTGGCAATGGATGCCAAAAACTTGCTGGATGTAATTGACTCGATTCGAATCCGTTACCCAGATGTGAACACATATATCTGCACAGGCATGCCTGTTCGAACTGTTCAAAGTGACGTAGTGGAAACCGAGCGAGATGTGAAGCCGGTGCCACAGGAAACTCCATCACTAGGAAGCCTGGAACGTCAGAGAAAAATGGCTGTGCCATGTTCAGCAATGTCCAATGTGATGGTTCAGCAGCCCATATACAGTGCGGCCACTAAACCGCCACTGCTGTCCACTGTGTCAGGTGCTCCTGTCTTGCAGAAAGCTGCGAATAAACTGAGCAGTGCAACTGGATCATTAGCATCATCTAACACAACAGATAGCTAGCAAGACTATGTGAACATATGTTTAACGTACCAAAATAGATTCATCTTAAATTTACTTAGTATGAAAGAATATCTAAATAAAATAAATAAGTCATATATGTGTGCTACATTATGCATGGCACGGTTTCAGTTTATCAGGAATAAAGTAATGCTCATTCCACACCAACGCAGATTGTCTAAATATCTTTTGCTGCAGATGGATTAGTACATGATATCATATAATATCATAAATATACTCAAGCAAGTCTTGTGTCTGTCTTGCCTGTGTGCTCTCTCTTCATTTTTCTTCGGTTTAAGGACAGATAATGATCATGGCTCTGTAATACTACAGACAGGTTTTATGCATTTTGTTACAGTGAGTAACATGTCAGGCAAAATTTAACTTTATGTCCATTTTCTATAAAAAAAAGTACCACGTCGAGGATGTCAAACTTGGAGTGAGATAACAGTCATTTGTTAATTATGAGTTTCATTGCGTCTCTACAACACATGATATTAGAAATGTTTATTAAGGTAAGAGCTAGGTTGAAAAGTCTTTCCTGAGTTCCAGTGTACATAAGAATAAAGTCTGGAGTCACATGATCTTCAGGCTTATCTTCTTTATAAGCTATGAATTAATTAATCCAAAACTTGTAGAAATTTCATAATCTTTCAGTTTGTAAAGTTTGTATGCAGCCATTCTTAAGTTCTCACAAATTCAAAACTGAACTGTGTTCCACGTGGTTACACAGCATTATGGCCCATTTGCAATTGAAATTAATATTTCATATTAAGATTACAGTCTTCTGGGTTATGACTTTGTTTACTTTGGTATGATAGATACTAACATTTTGGAGGAACATACTGCCTTTATCCTCAGGATGACATTGTGAAGATGGAGGTAGCAGTCAGTACCCACCTACCTACCATTGTTTGTCACATCCTGGAAGGCTGCAATGTTGATACTCAACACCATGATAAAACCTCAGATCTCAGATAAAGTTACATATATTTTTATAAGGTTTCAGGATCTTGTATCGAATGTTGTTGGCTCCCCCCATAACTTCAGATATTTCAACATTCACCATGTTAGTGTTATTTAAACCTATGCAATGCGACACACTTCTGGTCTTCTGGTTATTCATCTTGTAGGTGCTGTTATGAATACTTGCCGTTTATCATTAATAACTGTATGCCAAATTATGTTCTTGGAGAGTGTGGTACCTCTTGATCATATGAGGGGGTGGAGTCCTGGTTTCTTTGTGCACATCTTGCAGAAAGAACTGCTGTTTTCCATCCTCCATGCTTCTCTTGCTCATTGCAAACACCACAGTCCTTGTTTCAATTTCATGATTGCCCCCAAAAATGAGCACTCTTATTAAGCTCTTCTCTGTCCAGATGACCTTCCCGTTCTCGTTTTGTTTTTGTCATTCCCAGCAGCTCTTCAAACAACTGAAATATTTTCTAAACATCAATGGTCATAAGTCCCACAGGACTTGGAACCGAGAACGACTGTGCTTGTGATGGCCAGCAGCAATTGTCCCAAAAAAAAAATGCTGGTTGTGAGTTTCAAGGAGCTTGGTGCCAAGCTGAACTAATCGGTGGCAAACTGCCAGTTGTCAAATCACTCTCACTCTAAACATCAAGTGATTTAATTTTGTTTGTTGATTTTACTTTTGCACAGCATAGAACTCTGTGAAACTGTTCACAACTGACACATTTAAGAGCCAAAAAAAAACGTTTCTCTGCTGCTTTGATGATTTTCAGTTGCGGTTACCCCTTGAAAGTCCATGGTGCCAATTCTGCTTGTATATTCAGCTATAACTTCAGGTCCATGCATTTCATTTCTTGTCTACCTGCTGAACACTTCTGCTCCTGGCATCAGAACACAGCCCTTTTCTTTGCCACCCTTGTACCATTACAGAATCATGTTTTGTGAAGGCAGTGCCCTCATATTTTTACTTTCTTGTATCAGGAGTAGTATAGCAGTGGGCTCCAGGCTGGATTTCTGGGGTTTGATTCTCTGCAGAGGAAAGATATTTCTCTCCATCCAGACTGGCTTGGAGTCCACCCAGCCTCCTATTCAGTGGGCGCTAGGGCAGTTTCCCCTGGGGTAGAGTGGCCTGGTCATAAAGCTGACCACTCACGTCCATCTAATGCGAGGTCAAGAATGGTGGAGCTATGCTCCCACTCCGTCATATGTCTTCATGACATAGCGCTTAAATAAATAGGCACAGGGACAACTTTACCTTGTTTTTACCATATTATAATGTTAGAACCTTTTGTGATCATTGAAAATGCAAGCTTCAAATTTTGACAGATTTTTATATTTGCAACCCACCTCATTGGTTGGATGGATTTTATTCATATTTGGTATTGAAGAATTTATTTATTGTAGGTCAGTCCTTCGTGGCATTTAGTCCACAAGTGAACTATACCAAGCAACCGCCACTTGTCGGTGAAGTTAGTGGCAACTTTTGCAGATTAAGGGTGTTGTGTGGTCACTGCAACAGATTCCCATGGCCGTTAATCTCAGTTTTCTAAACTGGATCATAGGTCAGTGCTGGGAGAATATGAATATTCTGGCTCCAAATACAGGGACCCTTCACAAGAACCCAAAACAAAGTGGCTGTAGCAATTGTAATTACATTTCATTAATTTATGGTGATCATCTCCCTAAGCGCAGGTAGTATCCAGGACAGTAATGAGCATGCTGTCCATCAACTGTGATCTGTGAAGCATACGAGGTGGTATTGGAAAGTTATTGCTGTAACTGCTTTGGTGAAAGTAGATGAGAGGAAAGCCTATTGCATTGGTCTGCCACATGACACCACTCTGTGAACATGCATTGCTTTTACATGAGTGATTTTTTGACTTCATATTTCATTTTGTCTGCGATGGATGGCAAAATCAAGCAATGTGTCTGCATCAAGTTTTGCATGAAGCTTGTAAATCCACTACTGAAACCCTTGAAATGCTTTGTAAGGCTTCTAGAGAACATTCCTTAAGCCAGACTGGTTTCTAATTGCATTCACGTTTCAAGGCCAGTTTAGTGTCAGTTGAAGATGACGAATGTTCAGGGCGACCAAGCACCAGCAAAACAACAGACAATGTTGAAAAAATCGAGAATTCCTCCACAAAGACCATCACCGAACAATCCACGAGCTTGCAGACACTGTTGGGATCAGTTACAGGTTCTGTCAGGAGATTGTAATAGAAAATTTGATCATGCACAGAATTGCTCCTTCATCACAACACACCCGCCCACATGTACCTGAAAACCACAGAGTTTGTGACTAACAATAACAGGGTTATCGTTTCACATCCCCGATACTTGCCAGACTTAGCCCCCTCTGATTTTGCTTTATTTCTCCAATTGAAAATGAAACTGAAAGGATGACGTTTTGAAAGTGTCTGGCATCCAAAGTGAATCATGAGTGGTACTCTGCAGCATTAGGGAAAATGACTTCCATGTTGCTTTAGAAGCATGGGTAAAATGATGGAATCGCTGTATACGTCCCCAAAGAGAGTGTTTTAAAGGAGTTGGCAGCCAAAATTGAGTAAATTGAGCATTCCTCTTCTGACCTAGTCCAGGAACGTTCCAATAGCACCTTATATATGAGAAAATACGAGTATATGCAGTTGTCTCTGCACTTATTAGTTTCCATCTTGTTTTGTCCTGACAGTCAGACTGTGATTTTATTCCTTTATGGTCACCATGCTATCTCTGTCTTTGTTCCAACTTATTAAGNAAATTATTGAAGAACCAGTCACAATGATAAAAAAAACAATGGTAATTCGGCACTTTCTCGCACAAAAACTTAAATTGTATTTTCCCACACAACTGAACTGCCTACTGTATTAATAACAACTGAAGAATGCAGTTCAGTGACAGACAGGATCGTACTCTTCTTTCAAAAGAACTCTCCTTCCTCCCACTACTACAGATTGACTGGTGCCTGAGTTTGGTCTTTGTTGGTCCCTTTGCTAATTGAGGTCTCACACCAGACAGATTTATGGCTCCTTGCTGGTCAAGGTTCTTTAACATTCTCTACTTGTTGGAAAAAGGGTAGGTTTCGAGCTTTCGAAACCTGATTTCGAGCTTTTAAGAAAAATAACGGGAGAATATCGATGGATGACGTAAATGCGAGTACAGTTCTCTCTAAATTATAGTAAACTAACATTGACTGTCATACAAAACATTTAAACAAATGTGATACTCACTGAAAAAAAAAATCTTTAAAAATACATTGCCGCGGTTGAGCCGCAAAGCGGTTAAACAGCGCGCGGATAATCGAGAGTCTACTGTATCCAGTGTATCATTCTCGGATTCATGTTTGCACGAGTGATTATAAAACATCACAGAATCGTCATTAATATAATGAAATTGTGATCTTTAAATTTATTAAGACAGACTATATGTAGGTATAATTGCATGATTCAAGGATACTACATTTATGAGAATGTTGTACAGAGATTATCATTAAACCAAATATTCAGAAAGTTGGACAGAAATATTACCGGATAGTTGAAATAGGACTAGACAGAATAGTTGAAGGCTTGGTTTCCTACTGGTGAAATCTGTTTTGTGAGCTGAAGTTCTTATTCTTTTGCCAGTCCAATATGTTTTTGGAATCTTCATTTTTAAGACAAGTCTGTTTTCAACTTAAGATTTATAGAATGAAAATCTGCAACACATTGAAATTCTCTCTCAGATCATAAATATTCATGGGGTTTGCTATATAGTAACTGAACAAGGGGTGAATTTTTGCCTACAGTGATGTACACATTTTAATGTGTGGGTGCATGTGTGTGTGTGTGTGTGTGTGAGAGAGAGAGAGAGATGGAAAAATTTTCCAAACTTTGACTCAAATACTCTTTCTGTTTTAAATGGCCTAAATCAGAGAACTGTGTTATTCACCAGACTTAAGTGGCATTTTGGAACAAAATTAAACTGTAACCTAAGCATATATGAAATTTAACAGATATTTATTTAAGTACTCTGAAAAGTTTCTATGATCATGATAACATAAAAGTGTTTATAAGATTTTAGGTTTTGCCACTTGTCTTTTCTCTGAATTTCATGGATCTTTCAGGCCTCACTTTATGACCTTCATCAGATTCATTTTAGTATAACTAGGTGACTTGTAGAATAAGAAATGATTGTTGGAGTGTTAAGGAACGAAGGAATTGTAAGAAAAAACTTGACTCTTCCCATCTCGTAGATGGTGTATGCTGCACTTGAGATTTTCCTTTGTGTACCATTTCCAATAGATTCTGCAAGCAGCTGCCTGCATGTCTGTGCTGTATAGGCCTACGATATATTCTGCAAAACTGTTGTTCATTTGTTGTGTTCTTATTTCAGTTCTTTTAAATGGTACAAGATGTGTGAGAGTCCATTTTATAGCATTGGACTGCTATAACTTAAAAAAATAGAATTTGAGATTTTGGCTGAAAAAGTGGGAAGGTCTTAACTAATTTCAGTACATTGGTATGGTAAGAGTAAAAATTAAAATTGGAGCAGAACCCAGAAAACCTAAATTATATTTATAACCAAAATTAGTCACGTCTCAATACTTTACATGAAATATTTCTGTGCTCTATTAAAATACATAACCCACACTCTCATAAATTCTGTCCACACATCAGATATGACTGACTGCTCACTGAAGTCCATGTTCTCTATGAGTACATTATACCCTGTGTAGGCAACCTCACAGGGGAAAAGTCCTATGTAAGCATAATACAGATATTATGTTTTTGGACATAATCCATTGTCCTCTCTTTATCTAAAAACACCATCCTGTTTTTTTTTCAAACAAGGTTTCGGAGACTGGATTCTATCTCAATCTTCAGGTAAAACCTACTCAGTTTGCCCAGTCACTAGAGCTAGTCCCTATCTCCAGACATTTGTGCCAGCACTAGGATGGGGTATACAAGCCAAACACAGCACAAACCATCTGTCAGAGCTAAGAAAACATTAAATTATTAATAACTCTACTTGTATGAGAGTCCTTGCACCAGAGAACTATCACGATACAAATCATCACTGGAGAGGAGCAATATTCCTTATGGTACCAACACAAGAAACACAAATTTTCCCGCTCAGTCTACACCGGATGGAGTTGTAGTTTCTTGACTTCTACTGTGATAAGGGGAGTCCAGATGGGAGAGATGTCCGAACGGGGTTGACTTATCGGATGGTCCGGCAGAGACATGCGAGCAGATTTCTTGTACTTCCTGTATGTGGTCTTTGGTTCAATCTGCAAGACCTTCGCTTCATTCCAACATATTTTGTGGCCTTCACATCCATGTTGGGCTAATTTTGATTTTTCAAAGAAACCCTGTGTCAGGTTATATTTGTGTTCCTTAATGCATAGTTCTAAAGGTCTGCTTGTTTCACCAATGTAACATCTGCCACAGTCACATGGGATGCTGTACACACACTGCTTCATCTGCTGGGCATCTCTAACAGGTCCAGTTTTTATCAGTGTCCAATGGAGTGTATGTTTAGTCTTGAAAATGGTTCCAGCCTCTGTGGTCTAGTGGTCAGAGTTCCTGGCTATATAGATAGGGAGGTTCTGGGTTCAATTCCCGGTGCTACCAGATTTTCTGAATAGTGGGTCTGGAACAGGGTCCACTCAGCCTTGTGAGGATAGTTGAGCTATTTCAAGGAAATAGCAGCTCCGGTCTAGAAAATCAAGATTAACATCCGTGGGGATCCATTGTGCTGACCATGTGACACCCTCTATCCACAAAAGTTGGCACTAACTTTGCACCAACAAGCAGCGGTTGCTTGGTTGGTATAGTTTGCTTGCGGACTGCAGGCCACAGAGTTTTTTTTTTTTTACCCTTAACATATGGGATGATGACAGTGCCCTCATACACTGTGTGTGAAGAAGGATTCCTTGCTGATGGCTTCATTACAGGGCCCAACTGAGTAGGTTTTACCTGAAAACAGAGACAGAATCCAGTCTCCAAAATGTTGTGTTTTGAAAAATGAACAGGACAATGGATGATGTCCATAAACATAGTATTTGTACTAATGTACCATTGTCGCAGATTTTTAGATATTACTTATGTAAGCATGTTTGAATTTCCTTATGGCATGTTACTTCTGGATTTTGAAAACCGAATCTTGTTAACTTTGTAACTTATGATAATTGTGTATGTCATGAACTGATAACGGATGACAGTGTCCTTGTTCCCATAGTGGATGAGTGTGTTTATGCACAGACTGTGTGCATCACATTATGACCACCACAGAGACAATCAAACATTGAACCTTCTTTAATCTAGGCATAATTGCACACTCTCATGCTACTTCCATGGTCACCACAGGCATATTTTCATGCAGAACATGAATGATTATTTGAGGTGGTTCTGCTGCCATCTCTGAGAGGTCCTGTGACACTATATGGTCTAGTAAATTGTGTAAATAGCAGGTGACATCTAGAGGCCAGTGAGAGTACTTTTATTAATTTATGTATGAGGAATATTTATAAGAGCTATGGTCTCTTACTTGTGTGGTCTTCTAGTGTAGAAACATGTTTCACAGATGAGTACTGGTAACAGTTATGATCACATTTTTTCTGATAAGATCTAAAAGTTTGTGATGATGGTAAATTGTTACAGTTAATATGTTGCTGGACATTATCCATCAATTGTTACAATTAATATGTTGCTGGACATATAGGGGCTAGCTCTGTCTATTGGACCCAACTGAGTAGGTTTGACCTGAAGACGGGGACACATTCCAGTTCCCGAAACGTTGTGTTTTTAATAGAAACTAGACGGTTTTTTAAGAACAGACAAGATGATGGATAATGTCCAGCAACATATTAATTGTAACATTTTTTCT